CCCCCTGTGCTCCTTGATCAGTGTGTGCTAAGGGACACAGGACATTGAGGATGTTTTATATTACTGCCAAATCTTAAGTTTCACCAGCTCCCCCAGCTTAGGCCTGAGTGGTCCCCTGCTCACGTGACCCAGACACCCCCCCAACCCATCCCTACTAAGGGAGCTTCCCAAATTAATGACCCCTGCAGGAAAATGTGCACAACTGTTAGCAATGAAGTCTGGAAACATATGGTGAGGCCCCTACCCCAAAAAGTTACAAATATGGGTAAACTATTAATTTTTCATATTTTTATGAGTAAAAGAACAAGCAAACATGACTTAATTCTCTACACCTTTTAAACATATAGTTGTGTTTTAAGGACAAACACCAACTATAAAATTCAGATCATGTTTTTTTTTTTTTGTTGGTGGCGGGTTTGTTATTTGTTGATTTGTTGAGACGGGGTTTCAGTGCCACTCTGCCCCTGGAACTTACTACGTAAACCAGGCTGGTCTCCAACCACTGAGATCCATCTGCCTCTGCCAGTCCAGTACTGAATGAAAGGCGTGTGCTACCATGCCCAGATCCACGGTTTGTGTTTTAAGCATATATGGGATCAAATGGACGATTGCTTTGGTTCCTCTCTTTGGCTTTTGAACAAGAAGATGAAAGTAAATTTTAACAAAATTAACTCTAGTAGCATTCATGCAGGGCTCGTTGAAAGCGTAAAGCCCTTCCTGGATATATGGAGTTGTTTTTGTTTTTAGGAAGAACGTTATGAAAAGAGAAAAAACATTACTCTCCTCCAGCTTCTTAGGACTGTCTACTCCTTGGGATCAAGTCAGACTGTAGAGTTGTGCGAGAAAAAAAAAAACAAGTAAGGCCCCAAAAGTTCCTACAGCCCAGCCACAGCACACTTTTCTGTGGTTCGATGTCTTCTTCATGAATGTACACCCAAAAGGCAGGGCGGAGATGACACTGTGGCTCCGCTAAGTCAGGACTCAGTACGCAGGATGGCATGAAAATGGCAGGGGTGGTTGGCGATTGGCAGCAGTGGTACAGGCAGCAGTGGCTCAGAGCCCACTGTGCTTCCAAGGGCACCACATCATTCAAGTCATTTACAAACAAGTGAAACTTCTCCCTCCCACTAGGGACCCCTGAGGAGTAAAACCTATTAGGTTCTGAGCCCTCAGGATTCACAGAATGAAGGTGTGGCATGGAGAGCAAAATACATCACACTGGAAGCAGTGTTTAGCCTGTCTCTTGGAATCCACTATGGCAGAATGATCTTGCCTTTCACGGCACATAGACCTACTGCTCAACAGATCTGACCAGAGTAAGTCAGGGTGCTGTGAAAGGAGAGTGGATTCTGCAGAAAGAGCTAGAGCTCTGATGGCCAAGGTCATGAGCTGCTGTCAATCTTTAGATTCTCTGCCCTGTGTTTTCCTTTCCTGAAGAGGGGTTCTCCAATACCAAACAGCCCTAAACTCAGAAGGCAGACAAAGGTATTCTAAACTTAAAGCCAAAGCATATGAACAGAAATGGGAGGGCTGGAGAGATGGCTCAGAGGTTAAGAACACTGACTGCTCTTCCAGGGGTCCTGAGTTCAATTCCCAGCAACCACATGGTGGCTCACAACCATCTACAATTCAATCCGGTGTCCTCTTCTGGCATACAGGCAGAACACTGTATATGTAATAATAAAAAAAAAGAACAGAAATGGGAGACCAGAGTGACTTTTCAGTCTTTAAAAAAGGAAGGAAGGAAGGAAGAAGGGAAAAAAATGACCAAGTAGGAAAATGTTACTACTTAATTAGTATACAATAGATATGTCTCTTGTTGTTTTGTTTTATTTTGTTTTTTTGAGACAGGGTTTCTCTGTGTAGCCCTGGCTGTACTAGAACTTACTCTGTAAGTTGACCTCACTTACACCTCAAATTCACAGTGATCTGTCTGCCTCTGCCTCCCAATTGCTGGGATTAAAGGCGAGTACCATCACGGCAGGCAGATTTGTCTTTTAATGTATAAAGAGCACTTATAAAGGTTGGTGGGGGTAGCTCAGTAGGTAAAGTACTTGTCCCACAAGCGCAAGGACATAAGTTCAATTCCCCCAGGACCCACTGAAAAGGGCTGGTCATGGGCCTGGAGAGTTGCCCCAGAAGCTTGGGGACCTGAGTTTAAATCGCCAGCATATGCATAAAAAAGCCAGGCATGGTTACACATGCCTGTAATTCCATGTGAGGGTAGGTCCTGTGAGCTCACTGGGCAGCTGGTCTAATCACTGAGCTCCGGATTCAGTGAAAAACTCTGTATCAAAATATAAGGCTGTGAGATAGCGCTGCAGGTAAAGGGGCTTGCTACCAAAAATGATGACCCAAATTAGATCCCAGGAACCACTTGGCAAAAGAAGAGCTTTGACTTCTGCAAGTTTTCCTCTGGCCGCCACCTCCTCAACATACACATAATAAAAATTAAGGTGTCATTTTAAAACGTAAGATGGGCAGTGATTTTGTTGCTCTCTGGGCTCCACTTGCAGACATACATGCGCACACATGCCCACACACGTACACATGAGCATGTACACACTCACACAAAATGATCAACAACAGAATATTTAAATGAGCATCTGACCTAAAAAAGCTTCATGCGAGATGTATAAATGTTCTATAAGGATGTAAAAAAAAAAAAAAGAACACCCTCATTAAGTATCCAAGGATTTTGAACTATTCAAAAATATGGTTCCATATTTAACCTTTCAAATCAAAACAGTATTTTTAAAATACCAAGTACTGCTAAGATGAAAGAAAATATACACGGTTCTGCACTGGAGATGGAAGTGCAGATTCATATCATGACTTGGACGCTATCCAAATGTTTTAAAGATGGCCATACTCCCTAACCACTTAATTCTACTCTTGAGGATTGCTCTTAAGGAAATAATTGGGACGTGTTAATGATTTAGCCAAACGGATGTTTGCCACCGTACTGTTTGTAACCGCAAATATTTAGAAACAAAACCTAACTATTCAGCATTCATTCGTGTAAGTCATTCAACAAATATTTACTAAGCACTTAGTAAACTGAGCCACGGACCTGGTAGCCCTTTTAAATGAAGGCATTTCAGTAGAATGGAATATTCTGGAAATATTACAATAACAAGAGAATACTTAATAATAGCCATAAGAAGGTCATTATATATTAACTAGAAGAAGAAGATAAAAATCAGGACATACAAATGGTTGAAGAAAACGGATGGTGTTTTTTCATAAAACTTGCAGAGAGTTCTGTGGGTTTTCAAGCAGTGGCTTCTGGATGATGGGATGTGGTTATTTGGATTTCTCCCTTTTGTGACTACATTAAAACTTCATTCTACTAGCATGAATTATTTTATTTAAGTCCTTAATTTATTGAACACACCGACACTTAATTTTGAGGAGGCATCTGCTATAGAAAACATGGCAGCGGCCCTTGACTCCGTCTGCTGGTGGAGTTTTCCAGAACCTCCAGAGACATCAGTCTTGGAACTGCTCACATGGGTACCAGACCCTGACTTTGATGAGGAGGGGACTTCATGCTCTAGACTTCGTGAAGTTCCACAGCACTCACCCACTGCTGTGCCTTCGTGGGAAAGACGGCCATGCCTTGCGATTCCTTTTACTCCTCTTTGCTTTTTAATTAGCTGGGATTTTTTTTTAATCTCTGGGTTAGTTTTACTTTCTGTTTCTTTTTAATCTCCTTCTGTTGACTGTAATCCAATCTTTGAAGACTTGTTCCTTGGAGGTGCAGGGGGTGGGTGTTTTAACATAAAAGTTAATGAAATGTCAGAGAATGGAGATGCATGCCTAGAATCATCATAGCACTGGAGCAGGATGATCAGGAGGTCAAGTTCATCCTTGGCTACACCGTAAAGTTCGAGGCCATCCTGGGCTACCTGAGACTCTGGTTCAAAGACAAGCCAATAATAAGCTCGTAAATAAATACTGTCAGTGATGTTTCTAAACACCACAGGAAGCTGTCTCGACTTGTCTTCGGTTTCCTTTCCTTTTTCACAATACCTAAGCGCACATGCGCATTGGGTTTCTTCTCCGTATCCTTTATCTTTACATATGACCAGATATGAGTAAACACACGTGAGAGAGAAATGTAAGTAAGCTGAGTCAAACACACCGTTTTATTTCAGGTCCCCTACCTCATCATCTGCTCCCTCCTAGATCCCTTGTGTTCTTTACCCAGGAGCCTGGCTTCACATATCTATGTTGTTGTTTTGCAGTGCAGAGGGGGGTGGTCAAACCCAGAGTCATGTACACGCTGGGCTAGGCGCCTACCATTTATTATTTACTTTCTGCTTTTCATTCTCCCTCCTGGGGAAGGAAAAGAGCCTTCTATGGAAATCCTGCTGGGGAGGGGGGGGATCGCTTCCTTGGTGTTGCAGGGACGCACTCTGGTGGGAAGAGCCAACCAGCAGCCTCCTCCTGCCTCAGCTGGTCCTTCAGCTGCTCCTGCCAGTCTCCCGTCCTGCTCTGCCTAACCCCAGCCATTCTCAGCATCTCCAACTGCTCGAAAGCCTGTCCCAGCCTCCCCGTCCCTCCTCCTACAGGGCTCTGTCTTCTGTTTCAAAGAAAAAGTTAGTCCCCCAATTCCCACAATCAGTGAGTGTCTGGACTTTCATCTCCCTCGCCACAAACTTAAAGGCCCATTAAGCCTCGCCATTCATGGGTTATTTACTTATAAATTCACCTGCTCACTGAAATGTATTCCTAATCCCTAACAGTACACTCAGACACTTTGCCCTGGCTCCTGAACGTACAGAGTGTAGTAAAAACTTGAGCCCTACATTCATCTACATCCAGTGTAGAACGAGCCTCACACTCCAGCCTTCTGCTTCTGTACTTGCACAGTAACTGTACGTTTTGTGGTAAACATTTTTCACTTTTTCAAAGTTTTCTTTCTTTCTTTTTTTTTTTTTTTTTTTTTTTTTTGGTTGTTCAATGCAGAGAAACTACCTACTGTTTCTAGGCCATGATGTGTCTTACAGAGAAAATTACATGGGCTAAACAAGCGCCACACAGAGGAGGGTCAGTAATGGTGGTCATGAATTCAATGCTAGAGAGTCAACTGTGTGTGTGTGTGTGTGTGTGTGTGTGTGTGTGTGTGTGTGTCTGACAGCAATGTGTTGGGAAAAAGAAACTCACAAGAAAAATGAACCTTGCATTTCCCTCAGGAGCTGAGCACTCAGAAGTCACTAATTCAGCATTCAGGTTGCCTTTATGGAATGTTAACTACCACAAGTAGTGAGAACTGGTTGTGGAGCTTTGACCCCTCTTGCTTTCCATCCGAGTGTAAAGAATCAGGGCTATCCTCTCCCCTGTATCCTTACTCCAACAGTTTCCCCCGTAGTTACTTCTCCTCCTTCTAGTTCCATCTACTTACACATGTGTTCAAGTTTCTGCTGTCCTGAGAAATAGTCATTAATTGGTCAATAGCATGCAAAATGCAATACATGCACAGTATCATTGATTCCTCGTATGACTCCAGAGGAGGGAGGTTCAGCTTCTATTTTGCAGATGAAAACAATACAGTGAAAACCTGCTACGCAATTGACCCAACCTCTTATTGTCTAACCAAGAAATGGAAGGACCCCCCCCCATAATGAAACAATGCAATAAGGTGTCCTACAGGAACACCCTGTGGCCTTGTAGGTGTCAGAGGAACTGGCTATGAAGTTGGCTATGAAGACACCGGAGGGGAGACACGGCCAGGCGGGTTTGATGCAGGATGCAGAATAGGAAGGGTCTATCATTCGGCCTGCATTCTGTCCTACTCCAGGCAGCCCCATGGAGAGGGTTGTCACTTCTGAGCCATGGCAGTGCCGATGGCTCATGCCCCTGTATGCATATTGACCCCCTTCCATCTTGTGTGGCTGTGGCTGGTCATACAAGATATGGGAAGCTCCCTGGAGTTGTGGTGGAGAAGTAGGGAGACGGTACTCTGTGGTATTGGTGTGTAAATACCAGGACAAGACTTAAGGTCAGGTAACCAAGCTCAGGATGTGACCTTGACCACTTACTACTGTTTATAAAGAGCCCGGTTACCTCTCTCAGCATCTGCTTCCTGGTGTAGTTAAAGTAGCCAGCCACTCTGCTGAAGACTGGATTAAAAAAAGCAGGTTAAATACCATGGCTGGCATGAAAGTCTCAGCTAGACAAGTGTTAGACACAATGAGTCAGTCACCTTAGAGTCATCCTCCTCCCTCCCCCCCCCCCAGCATCATCCCAGAGCTAGCACAAAAAAGGCTAGCATTTCCCTTCCTTGGCCAGTTCAGTATCTCAAGTGGACGAAAATCACATATTCGTCTCAGGACTCCTTGTGGGGTATGTGCAGGAATTCTCAGAGAAGGGTGAAAAAGAAATTGACTGTAGATAATCAGAGAAAGAGAAAGGCTCAGCCTGGCTTTGTGTAGTCCTTGTGACAAGTTGCTGTCTACCTCTCCGGCTGGCAGAGTGACTTGATGCCTGCCCTGGATCCATGACCATGGTCAGAGCTTCTCAGCTGGAGCGGTGGGGTGCAGTGGGCTCCCAGCTCCTCCATCTGAAGAGTCCATGCTTGGGGGATGACTCTGTCTTCCACGCTGAGACTCTGGGGTGGGGGCAGCCTCTTTAAAGGGGAAGCCATGCTCATACAACTCTAGCAGATTTCTTAAAAAGTGGAGGTCCCACGTTTTAAACCCCCCCCCCCTGAAAGCAGAGAAAAAGGATGGGCACGAAAAAGCATACATTCCTGGAGAAAGCACCCCTCCACACCACTGAAACTATTTCAAATCCGGTGGAAACTTTTCTCCAGATGCGCTTTCCCCGGCAGGGTGACCCTCCAGAGGCGACAGCAATGACAGAGAGGAGTCTTCCCATAGCCGGGACACAAAGCTGGTGTTGTTGGAGTGAGAGCCGTGTAATCAGCTAAGAAATTCCTGAGCAGAGCCAAGGGCAGCACATACCCCAACCTTGAACTTCTTTCCCTCCCTGCGTTTTTCTAATGCTTCCTGGAGAAGGGGGCACCCAGGGGCCTGGATTCCCTTTTAACTTAATTAGGAGCTCGCAGGAGCTGATGCTGAGAACTGACTGGGGCGCGCGCGCGGGGGCGGGGAGGGGGTGGCAGAGCTTTGAGAGCTTACCCTCCTGGCTTGCAGGAGCCTCAGGGAGGAGTTGGTGTCACAGGGATCTTGGCTCCACGGATGCTGGATAGATGGGTGTTCCTAGCAGGTGGTCCCAGGTCTTTCCGGAAGGTTCTCCACAAAGGGCTGGCGTCTTCCTTCAGCACCCACACCCTCTGCCCTACGGACACAAATAAAAAGCCAGGCATGTGCACTCATTTTTCAGCACCAGGTGTTGCCAAACCCAGGCCAGGCGCTGCTCAAACACAGAAAAGCCAGCCACACATGCTATGACACTAGGCCACCTTCATGGTAGTAGGCTTCAGGGACAGTAGGAATGCTGGTTCTTTCACTAGCTCTGTGGCCTTGGACGAGTCACGGTAGCCTCCTGTGTGCAGATAGTCCTGGCCACTAACTCTAAGAACCGTGTGGCAGTTACAGGAAGAGCCAGGTACAGGTTGTTACGATAAAGCTCGGGGGGTCCTTGGTGGATTCCACAGCAGGCAAGGGTGATCGAGCCAGACAGACAGAGCTTAAGTGAGAAGTTTTATTAGAAAGGGAAAAGGGAGGGGGAAGGGGAGAGAACAGAGGTAAAGAGACACAGAGACAGAGGACAGAAGAGAAGAGGGAGACAGGAAAAAAAGCCTTGACTGCCCCAGGGAAAGAGCGGGATAGAGAAAGAGAAAGAGAGCTGGAAGGAGGAGAGCCAGAAAGAGAGGGTAAATGGGCGGGGTCTTTCCTTTAAAGGGGTCCTTTGCACCTGCATGCAGACTAGTAGTCACAGAATCCTGGGCTGACCAGGGTACTGCCTGAGTGCTTTCTGAGGGGCAGTCCAGCGTAATGCCTGAATCCTTACACAAGTGTGTATAACAGCACCCAGAAGTTAAGACACTGCCCAGTGAAGGCCAGCTACCATTATGATCGCTTTATCCTGCTCATGCTTCATAAGAAAGGAAACCAAACAAACTTTACTTCAGTCCTCCAGCGAGCGACACAAGACCACATCATCCGAAGCACTCACACACTTCAGCTTGTCCTGCTGTGTTATGGATCGCCCCCTAGGACCTACCTTCATGCAAATTCCCATCCATTCACACAAACGTAAGAGATGAGAGACTCGTGCCTCTGAGCCAATCCGAGTAAGGCGAAAGCGGCTCTGGGGTCTGCCCAACCCTGCCTCCAGGGACTGGTGTGTAAATAAGAAACTGTAAGCAGTGTGGCCAAGCAGCTGGCAGGAGAGGAATCAGAACAGAGCCACGGGAGAGAAGAGAAACTGACACACTGGGACCTTGCAGTCTGGGGACCACACCCAAAGCACAGCAAAGACATTTCTAAATGGGGACTACTACTTAGGGGCGTATCCACGGTTGCCTGACTGAACCTCATTTTCCACTGGTATCGTCCTCTGACCCCATGCCCCTCCGCTGCCAGACTCTCCCACATTCCCTCTGACCTGGGTGCAGGGTCGAGGTCTGTCCCTGGGGCCCCTGGGTATTTGTGAAGGTAACTGTGGCTCTGTCCTGAGCTTGTCATTTCCCTCTCATTCCTCAGGATCCAGGTCTTGCTTGGAAGAAAGGGCTCCCAGGGAGGTACAGCAACCTTTCTAGGATGAGTCAGCATGGAGGGTTCCTGTTAAAGCTTCCGGACAGGCAGATGAGGGTGCTGATAGGGTGGAAAGATGATTCAGCAGCTAAAACATCGGGGGTTCTTCCAGAGAAGGGTTTCAATTCCTAGCAATCCCCGCCCCACCCCCTCGTAATAGCTAAGAATCATCTGTAACTGCAGTTACAGCAAATATGGCGCCCTCTTCTGGCCTCCCTAAGGCACTGCACACATATGATGCACAAAGAGGCATGCAGACTAAATACCCACTCACAGAAACTAAATGGACAAGTTTTTATGTTTTTTAATTTGGATCCACATGATTAAAACAGCATAGGTTTGTTTGTTTTGTTTTGTTTTATTTTGTTTTTAAAGCTTCAGGTCAGTTGCACCCCCTAAATGATTACTAATTTCACGACTTGTGGGGTCCTCCCAGATCTCCAGCTCTACCCCATAAAGTTACACAATGGAAAATGGAGATTTAGGTGGGAAAGAGTGTCTCCTAAGTGAATGCTAAACCTGGAAGTTGAGGTGATCCAGAACTGTGGTGTAGTCCCCACCAACTCCCTGTCAGGAAGTTAGTTGTTCCCAGATGCATGTGGAACACGTACCCTGCCCAGTCTCACCCATCCGTCTCCAAATGTTCCCTGGGAAGCTCCAGGGCACTCCCAATGCTGATGTGAATCTCAGCTCTGTCTCCAGTTTGGAAGCAGGCTAGAGACACACAAGAAGACGAGCGAACGATCAATCGAAGCTGCATACAAATGATGACGACTGAGACTTGAAAGCAGAGACACCCATGCCCTTGTCCCAGCCTTTGCCCCTGCCTCGTAGGATTTGGGGTTCACAAGCAGAGAGGCTAAAGATACTGAGTTCTAACCTTTCTCGTGTATCACAGACCAGAGAACCAGAGCCTCAGTTTCTCCACTCCCCCATCTGCCTATTTAACAGGCTGACCAAGCTGCTCTTTCTTGGAATACTCTCCCAGCTGTGAACATCTGGAGCCCTACATCCCCCGTGATCACCCTCCCTGGTAGCAGTCACAACAACACATTCCCCTCTCCAAGGTGGATGGCACAGAGAATATGCAAACATGTCTAATTAAGTCGGGAAGTCAAAACAACTTTTCCCTGTGTCATTCCAAGACCGCCCCCCCCCCACACCCAACAGTCTACAGAAACAGAGGACTGTGAGTTTTCATCACACGCCTGATCAGAGCCTGGGCACCGAGGCAAAAGAACTACGTCTCTGGTTCCAAGCATGTTAGGGGGCAGTGCCGCATACCACTGTCAGCTCGCCTTACTGTCTCCCTCCCATCTCTAGGCACTTGATTACCCCTGCCCCCAGAAGCATTCACAGTCTTGAACTTTCTAATCATGGCCTGTCTTTGTCCGGGCACTCGGGATCATATGGCATCAATTGAGAGCCGTAACCCGACTCAGGTTTGGTATTTAACATACCTGCTGCAGAGGAAGTTGTCTTTGAAGGGGAGGCCATGTGTGGTGGCCCTCGACCCTCCCTTCTGCACGGCCCAGCCCCGCACCTCCTAATCAGTCTCCCCAACTCACCGCGGAGGAGGTCTCGCAATGGAGGGCAATTATGAGGGCGAGGAGATGAAAGAGGCGAGCCCAGTGGTCCTAAAGGTTCTTTTGCTTTTAAATTATCCATGATTTACCTGCATAAAAGGAGAGGAAGTGCCCAGAGATTATTCTAATTGAGCCAGACTTTTCAAATCATGGAAATGCCAGCATTTCCAAGGGGAAATCCAATCCGTTCAAATTGCCCCCGTGAGTAACTCATACAAACAGAAGGAAAGAGGGGCTTTCATTCGCCAATGTGGGTCTGATCAGTGTAAATTGGATAAATGGCAGGGCCAGGAGGGCAGGGAGCTCTCAGCGTCCTCACCCGTGTTTTCTTAGCCACGTTTGTAAAAGAGACCATTCTGGAACAGAGGCTGTCAGAGGAAATGCCTCCAGTTGGCCACCAAGCCTCCTTCTTCCCTGGTTATTGAAAACAGGCAGAAGTATGTTCCTGTCACTGTCCAATCCTCGGTCTCCTGATTTCTCTGCCCTGAAGGTCTGCAGAAATCCAGCCAAAGAGGACAAGTTTTACTCTGGTAGTATTTCGGGTAGCACTTAGGATGAGAAGACGAAAATCTTGGTGGGATTGCTTGGCAACTCTCCTGGGACAGGGTGAAAGGTCCAAATGAATGGCCACCTCTGTGAGGGGACAAGTCTGGAGAGGAGGAATTTGAGGCAGAGAAATTCAGTACCTTCCAGAAGGTCAGAGTTCAAATCCCTGGAAAGCTAGGGCAAGACCTTTCACTTTTGGGTTTCTGCTCACCCCAAGTTGAGACAATAGGCCTTTTCTTTGGCCCACTCAAAGCTCCCCCATATGAATATAACATACATATGCATATATACAAGCACGTGTACATGTATATGTACATACATACACATATAAGAGTATCTGTATGAAGACCCCATGTGTGTGCACATGGGCTGCCTCTCATGGTCAAGGATTCCCAAGGAAACAGAAATGCTATCTACAAATACATACATACATATATATGTAATACATATATTCATTCTACATTGGTGCTCTCACTTTTCAAAAAGGAACATACATCCATAAGCCAATATACATACAATGATTTATGTGTCTATTTATGCATGAAGTCACACTTACTACATGTCTGTACATCTCAGAATCACAAAACAAATTCCAGATAGCAACATTGATACCCAAGGCTATATAATTCAATGCACAGGTTTCACTTGTTTTTTGTTTTTGTTTTGTTTTGTTTTGGTTTTTTGTTTTGTTTTTTATGAGACAGGGTTTCTCTGTATTGTTTTGGAGGCTGTCGGTCCAGCCCGGCCTCGAACTCACAGAGATCCGCCTGCCTCTGCCTCCCGAGTGCTGGGATTAAAGGCGTGCGCCAGCACCGCCCAGCTAGGTTTCACTTGTTAATCAAAGATTAAATCCTGCTTTTGTGAAGTCAACATGCTGTTCTTTCCCAAAATTGATAACCTCGACTTTGCTAGATGTTAGGACTAGACTTCTCTTTAACAAACAAAAAACAGTATGGCGCTTCATGCCTTCCAGGCTGCAGTTGCAGACATTATTCAATGTTGAGAGCCTCGTGACAAGACTGGGAGGAAAACAGAGGCGCTTCTGGTCCCACCTTGCAGAAGAAAGGCCGTCAGAGGGATGGCTGGCCATGCTCCCAAGCCTTGGACCCATTCTCCGTGGTGAAAAATCAACAGTGTATATAGAATTCCACAGTGTTCATATTCAGAAAGACCAGTGAGGCAATTCCAAAGTTATCCAGGTGTCCCACTGTCCCTACCCCTCTGAGAAATGATGTCAACTCCCAAGCAGACAGCATGGCTTAGGTTTATAGGACCAGGTGCCAGGATCCAGGTCAGGGAGGCTTTGAGGTATTTCCTAAGGCTAAAGAGCACTAAGAAATTACTGTAGACATGGTTGTTGCACTCAAGAACTCAAAGTGGCTGTTGCTATATGCATAACATCTGCACAAGATCCAGCCAACTGGTGTTCTGGCGTGGATCCAGAGAGAATCAACAGCCCTACAGTTAGGTGACAAGCTATTGACAGTCCATGGCTGCTGGGGAAGAGAAAGCTGATTTTCTTCTGGTGTTTCCGGTAGGTTGCCCATGCTCTAATGGATGGCCTTACACCTATGCACACATAGGAAGTACTAACTGGGCTAAAGGAGTCAAGAAAAAAAAAAGGAGAAAGACAGAAGTATGTGTTGGGGCAGGGAAGGGAGGATGCAGGAAGAGAGTGAATGAAGACTGACCAAGAAGAAAGAAAATTACTTTCATTAAACAAGAAGTGAGCCTGCAAGGAAATGAATATCCCGTTCAGTGGTCATCAGAGAATACATACATATAGATCCCACCATTTACAGTAGCAAGGTGGCAGCCACATGTCCACCACTGAGATACTTACAGAGCATAAATAAATTCTGTCTCTTATCAGACTATGATTCGGGGCTGCAGGCTATGAGTCCAGTGTGTCTGCCAGAAGCCTAGTGTGTGAGAACCCACAGTATACACCCAAGTATCTTCAAATAGAAGCACAAACAAGGCTATCCTGTGCTAATCGGTTGGTGAAACCCACTGCAGCCAGAGGTCCCATACTTTCTCTAGGAGCCATGGCTCAGCGTTGGTTGATTCCAGGGTTTCAGTAGCGTGTAGCATAGACTAATTGCCCTTATCCAACATCTTATTCCTAAACAGCCAAGTCTAAAGCTTCTCTGTCGGCTTGTCTTTGCGCCCTTGCTGATGTCTAGACTGCCATGTGTCCCCAGGTGCTCCCCTTTGCAGGAACACTGACCTTTTGTGCTGTCTGTCTTATGACACGTAGATGCTATCCCATGCTTCTAGAGCTTTGAGTCCAGATCCGAGCAGCCTTTGGACTTCTTGCCGATCCCTTTGGCCAGGCTAATTTCTATCCCTGTGTGGTATGCGGTCACAAGGCTTGGCCTCACATGATCGTCTCAGAAGGCAGTTGTTATGAGAAGCTTTCCTTGCTAGCTGCTTTGGTATATCACCCACCAGTCGCCTGGGCTCTGACACATTGTAGTCCCCAAATAACACACAAGACGCTGTATTAATTGTGAAGCTGTTGACTTTGCTTGTTTCTTACTGGCTAGCTCTGACTTAAGTAATTACCCCATAATTGTTAATCTAAGTATTTCTCTTACTGGAGAATAGTTCCATGGTGGTTACATCTCGAACTCTCCTGTGTTTCTCCTTCCCAGAGTCCTCCTGGATTCCTAGCCCCACCTATCTAGATTCCTATTGGCCAGCAGTGCTTTATTGACAAAGGACTTCCCCAACAGGCAGTGAACAGGCTGCCCCATGCAGGAAGGTAGAATGGTAGAATGCCCCATACAGGAAGGTAGAATGATGGCCGCGTGTCCTGACAAGGTGTGTGATGAGATCTAGGTGTCTAGAGGGGGAGGCGGCGCTACGGTGTGTGTCCTGTTGCTCAGCCACTTCCCTCTCCAGACTTGCACTCTTGTGACCAGTTCTTTTACGCCCACCTACACATAGTGAGGGGACACTCAACGTCTCCTTCGCTCGAATAATAAAACCCACAAAGATTTGAAAATGCGAAAGCAAACAGTGGACACCTGTCCCTCGGTGAAGGCACAGGGACATCTCAGGCCTGGGCACCGTAGGCTGTGCGAACCATTAGGAAGGGACACAGTATGTTTCTAGTGTTTGGGGACATTGTCAAGTTGAGGGAGTGAGCCCCCTTGTTTAGGGACACAGTATGTTTCTAGTGTTGGGGACATTGTCAAGTTGAGGGAGTGAGCCCCCTTGTTTAGGGACACAGTATGTTTCTAGTGTTTGGGACATTGTCAAATTGAGGGAGTGAGCCCCCTTGTTTAGGGACACAGTATGTTTCTAGTGTTTGGGACATTGTCAAGTTGAGGGAGTGAGCCCCCTTGTTTAGGGACACAGTATGTTTCTAGTGTTTGGGACATTGTCAAGTTGAGGGAGTGAGCCCCCTTGTTTAGGAGGTCGCCCGGGCTGGACAGGTGACGGGAGACAAAAGGCAGATCTGGATGTAATGGTAAGTCAGCTGCGAGAAGAACACTGGGGGATGGGCAGACGGAAGAAGGTGGAGCGAGGACTGTGGAGAAGTGGAGAAGGACTTCATGAGACAGAGCATGGGGGTGTGGGCACGCGGGAGACTGTTGCCCAGTGAGGAGGATGCACCCGCATCTATCCACGCCAATCTCAGGGAACATGGGTCTGAAAGTGCCATTTACCTCATGAAGTATGGTCTACGGGTAGCTCTTCCCACATGGGGTCACCTTCTATTCTAGAGTATTCTAGAGTGCAAAGGGCCTCCCCGTTCTGCCTCGCCTGGATAAAACTGAGGTAGGAGCACTGAGCCCCTACAGGACTCTAAGCCTTGATATAGCTTAGATGTAATTAATCAAATATATCCACCTCGTTAGTCCTAGTTTCTACTTTGAAGGGCTCAAACTCGGTGTGAGGAGCAAGTCTGTGGAGCCTCCCCATAGCTGACTTGCTGGGAAGTTTCCAAGAGAAGGAAAGCACTGCCCACCCCTCAGACAGGACAAAACCATCAAAGCGCACCCCGTCTGAGGACTCAGGTCTACTTCTGTAAGACGCGTGTAGCCGGCATCCCAGAACTGTCTGGGAGGATGAGACACGGGTCTTCGGACTCTCAAGACTTCAGAGATGCAGGTCGAAGCAGAACAGGGAAGGAGGCCAGTACCTGAAGACCTGGGGGGCTGGCGTGCTCGCCTCCCTGTCCCAGCGGCCTCGCGGCACCCTCGATGATAATAACACCCTGCGGGTCTATAGCAGCTTTCCCGAAGGATCTCAAAGCTGAGGGGTGCCTGGTCCCATTAGTCCTTGCTCTGTGGGAAGGTCGTCCGTTTCCACAAGTCAAGTTTGTGGTGAGTCACCAAAAAGGGCAAGACCAGGACACCAGGGAGGGAAGCCTCTGGGATCCCTCCTCCAGTCCCTTGACGCCTGGTCTACATCTCCGCTGTTCCTGTGCATGCCCTGAGAGAGCTAGACTTCGCTGTGCGCAGTTCTGACGACACAAACCCAACGGTTTGCTCTGATCTGGCTCTTTGTGGGAAGAAAGTACTTCTCGTTCAAGTCTGCCCTTGCTCTGAACAAAACAAGGGCCTTTCTCGTGGTCAAAATGCACCGCCTCGTAGGAAGAGACCTAGGCACCTGTGCCGCTGACCACGCCCACTTTGGGCGTGGCAACAGGTGCGTATGGGCGTGTGGGATAAAGGGCTGAGGATACAGGCACTCGCCCTCTTTTGGGGGTTCCAGTCGGGTCTCGAAAGGCTGCAGAGACTGCCCTGGGTTTTCAGTGTCTTGTGTAAGTATTTTCTCACAACACGTAACTAACAATACCTTTATTCCGTGTACTGTTACTGTTTCTCGTCGCCGCCTGTTCTAGACAGGTCGGATGGTCCTATGGGCAAGGCCGATGCGATGGCCAGAATACGCAGTCTTTGATACCTGGAGGCGTGTGATGGTCTGAGAATGACGTATCCCTCCAGCTAGGAAGCTTCGGTCTGTTAGACCGTTAAGATTTGGGGGACTTTTGAAGTTAGACTAAATGCATTTTTAATTATTAAATGGCCTTGAATGTGAGGGGCCAGGGGCCGAGTGTTACA